GTGTCAAAAATTCAGCAATGTTTTTATTACCTAACTAAACTTTTTTACTTAATATTTATTTTAAAAAAGTTAGATGATACTACTAAATATTTTAGATTGAAGATAATGAAGAAGGTGAAGGTGAAAAAGATATACCGAGTGAAGAACCTACATTAGCGGATAGCGATAAAAATTCTGCTTCACAAGAGATTCAAGAGAATATAGAAAACAGACCGAAAAGGAAACAAACGGAGGTAACACCTAGAAAACGCCAAAAGAAGAGTGAAGATTCTGAGAAACTAGATCAAGCTTTTAAAATATTGTCCAAAGCATCAGCAAATGCCAATAACCTACGGGAAGAAAACGAATGTCAGATAATTGGAAATCTTGTGGCTAAAAAACTGGCCAAATATTCTTCTCAATTACAAAGTGATGTACAACAAGAAATTATGAATGTTTTATTTAAAGCAGACAGGATCCATCTCAAGCAAACTTCAATCAATTCGGATTATTTACAAACATACCGTACTCATAATTTTCAGTCAGACTTCACAAATTCTATGCCACAAGATTCTCAATTTGAACACTACCAGGATAGCCAAAGATCTAATTTTATTCAACAACAATCACAGTCACCATCTCCAGCATCTACTTATGATAGTTCTAGTATTTCGATTCATTCAAGTCGCACTACTCCAGTCACTACCTCTTTACCACACCAATTACTGGATATGCCCGACATTGAATTAGGGGATTTATAAAAAAATATTTTTAGAAATAGTGTTTAATATACTTGTTTAATAAAATAGTTTCTTACCTCTATACTTTCTTTTAATACTTCTACGATAGCTTTACACACTTCAGGAACTATAGTACTTATCGATTGTTTAGACATTTTAAAAAGATATTGTAGACTGGTATAGGAATCACCAGTCGCCAAAAAACGAATTGTTACTGCCAATCTTTCTTGGACAGAAATTGCCTTTCTCCATCTAGTATCTTTTCGTCCTATTTTTGGTCCAATTACATTAATCAAATACTCGAAGTCTGTTGGAGACATTCTAGTAAAATTTTTGTAGAGGCCACTAATTGCCTGAAATTTTAAATCCTGTAGTAAGTGTCTTCCACTGTATGCCTTTCTTACAGTATACAACTTTGTCTGCCACCAGCGCCTTTCTACCCGCCTTTTTTTATTTTTCTTAACGAAATAATGCATAAATATGTAAGCTGCTGCAGCAACCTCCATTTCGTACCAATTGTACCTCACAACTAGAAAACGACAATTCAGACGGAACGGCAGTATGTTCTGCTGCTAAGATACGCGATGATGTATTGTTGCGCCTGTATTTTTGATCATGTCGTAACTTCGATGCGTACAACAATTGTTGCGTGACGGTGTTACGATACGATGTTTTGTTGCATGTCTGGACGCACCTTAACAGAATTCGCAGAAATCTTTCTTTGTAGTAAAAGGCAGGTAAACTGCACTGGTGTTCTCCATAATGTTTATACCACTTTGCTAAATTTTAGGTATAAATAAATATATGTCATTAACCCGTTGTTCATAGTTTTGCATATTTTGTTACATTTTTTTTAATGAATAGTATTCTTGTTTGATAATTTTTTTCTGAAACAAATACTACCGTGCTAAGGATAATTTATATACAACGTTCTAAAACAGTGGTCGCCAACCTCTTCAATGTGTTGAGCTACTTTGTTAACTTTGGAATAAACAGCGAGCTACCCACACGGAAGCCATATAACGCAACGTAAATTAAATAATCCATAGTTAATCTATCATTATATGTATTTATTTACTGTTTAATAGTAATACATAATACATAGGTACTAATAATAAACTAATAACAAAATGACTAATATTACTAGTACGTACTTGTTCATAGCTACATTCCTACCCATCAAACGAAGGTATTTGAAAAATAAACACAAACCTCTTATCCAGCCCACAACGGCTGTGCGCGCGGTAGGCAGGTGATTTAAATAGTATTTAAATATAAGCGCCGGCCGGATAAGGGGGTGTGGGGGGGGGGGGGGGGGGGGGGGGGGGGTACGGAGGGGGGGGGCGCGAGGCCGAGCGAGCATAAACATAAACATTGAAAAATAAAAAAGCACGTGCAGCATCGATCTATCACTGGGAGCAGGACACTCAGACTCAGAGGTATATAGAAAGGGGGGGGGTTTGGTTGGTAGGGGTGATGTGGGTAGGGTGGCAGGAGGGTGACGAGGGTGAGGGGTGGTGGTTGCAGGACATTCGAATACATTTTCCATATGTGAAGCAGGTATAGGGGGGAGGGGGGGGGGGGGGGTGGGGGGGGGTGGAGGATATGTGGGGTCAGTTTTAGGCGGAGTGGGATATTTTGGGGGATCACACACACACATACATAGTAGTGGGGGGGAGAGAGGTATTAGGGGATGATTATGGATGTGGTTAGGTGTGGGGGAGGGTATGGAATTGTGGAAATGTGTAAGGATGGTAGGTTATTTAGGAGCAAAAAAATCTCTCGTGGTTTGGGTAGTTTGATGTGGTTTCACATATACACCCACATTCTTGGAGGTTAAAAGGGATGGGGAGATGGAGGAAATTTGGAGGATGTTATATTATATTTAGAAGGTGTGTTTGGGAATGTTTGGGGTTTATTATTAGGGAATAGTAATGGGATGGTGTTTGAAGGTTTTTAGTGGGGGTTGGGTAGAGGATGGGTGGTTTGTGGAGTATGGTGGGGGGGGATGTGGGAGTTGTGGGGGTGTGGGGGGAGGTTTGTTGTGTTGGGAGGGGTTAAGGGGTTGTGGGGGGGAAATTTTAGAATAGGGGGTGTTTGGAGGGTGTGATTTTGATGGGAAGTGGGAGGGGGAGAGAAAGGTTGAGGATTTGGTTGGAGGGTTGGGAGAGGTTGGAATATGTTTTAATTTTGAGAGTTAATGTGGGGTTGGGGAGTGGGAAGGGAGGGATGAGAGGGGGGGGTTTTTGGGTTTAGTGGAATGTGTGTATGATGGTTTTAGGGGATGATAAAGAAGAGTAGGTTAATGAGGTAGGATGTGTTGTGGTGGAAAAGGTGGGTATGATTAGGATGAGGAATTGGGGAGGTTGTTGAGGAGGGGTTAAGGTGAGAGTTGAGGAGGGGGTATTTGGGGGTAATAATGGGGATGTTAGGGGGGTGGGGATGATTGGGAATATGTTGAGGGGGTGGGTTTGGATGGGGTTATTGTTTGGGAGTTTTGGGAGAGGGTAGTGTGTTAGAATAATGTAAAGGTTATATTAAATAATTAGTAAAATGAGGGGGAAAAGAAATGAGTGAGGGGAGAGTTAATTATGTGTTTGTTTTTTATTAGAAGGAATGGTGGAGGAAAGGGTGTTTTTAGAATTTGTGAGGAGGTTGAGTTTGATAGTTTTAAGAATATTATAAAATGAGATGGATTAGTATGAGGGTAGGAGAAGGGTTGGTTTTTGTTTACGTCGAGTGTTGGGGGGGGGGGGAAGGGTGCAGAGGGGGGGGGGGGGTGATGGGGGGGGAGGGGGGGCAGGGGGAGGTTAGGGTTTTTTGTGATGGGAGATGATGTAGAGTATAGATATATAGGTGGTATTATGGATGTGTGTGTTTATTTTAGTGAGAAGGGGTGGGAGTTAGGTTAGATATTGTTATAGATAAGAGAGTTTTTAGAAGGGTGTGATGGAAGAAAAGAGTTGATTGGTGTTGAGTGCATTGGGGGGGGAAAGGTTAGGGAGACTCTCCGGGGTATCAAGGATGCAGTTGAAGTATTAGGCGAGGAAGATAGTTATCGGAAATATATAGGTGGGGGGAATTGTATTGGGGGGGGTTTTAGGGTGGACGGGGCCCTTCTGCGGCAGAACGCTGTGGGTAGGCTGTGTGTCTAAATATGAATGGGTACCGGTTTATGATGTCGCTCATAAGTGTGTGCGTCTTGTTAGCACACGATGACACGAAGTAGTACATAAACATCAGTCCACCACATTTTTATGTAAACAATTAATAACACGGATAACTTTTGTTTTCGAACTTCCAACAATATATTTTATTTTAACATCTTATCGCTACAGCTGTTCGTCGCATGATTGCACTTTTTTCACTTCTAAGTTCAAGTGATCTATTTTTGGCATGCGTTTACACTTTATAGTCTCTAATGGAATAGGTTGAGGAGGGGAGAACTGTTTGTCTCAAGTTGGTCATTCAGAATTATATCTGTGTTTTTTAATTTGTTGATTTCCATAGATTCTAACAAGGATAGCTTAAGGTCTTTATTTTGAATGTGAAGAATTTTAAATTCGTCGTTAAAAGAATGATTGTGATCTAGAACGTGAAGTGCGTATGTAGAATCTGTTTTTCTATTATTGAAAGCCCTTTTATGTTCTGCTATTCGTTTGTTAAAGTTTCTACCAGTTTCGCCATGTGGCGACTGCCCCAAAAACTTACATCGGTCAAACTGGTTTTCTTTATTTTTGGAAATGATTAAAAGTCAGACGGAGCCATGTCTGGTGAATATGCGTATCATTAGCGTATTGTTTTTGGCCAATAATTCACGAAAAAGCAATGAAGTGTGAGCTGGTGCATTTGGAGCTGAAGTTTGATAAGTGTTTCAAGGATTGGCACAAATGCGTAGTAATGTAGAGGAATCAGTAAATATTTTTTCAAAACACGAAAAATCCGGGTATTTTTGACACACCTCGTATATAAAAACATCGCTTTCCAAACATTTTATTTACATGGTCAAAAAATTATATATAATATATATATATTATATATAATAAATATATAATATATATATATTATATAAAATAATATACCTACAAAATTAAATCTTTTACACAAAACGTCCATAAAGCTTATTTTTGCAAAATAAGCATACTGTAACTATCACAATCATTTAAGTTAAAATGCGCCGAGTCATAATAGAAGGTTTATTGTCGCGTATAATCTTTATCGCTGTTATCTAAAATGAATTAATTATAGATCTCAACATTTAGCTTTATTTACTAACATCATGTGAGATCAGACACACCTAAATTATTTATTTTGTGTATAAAGTAAAGTAGTAAGTAGTAGTAAAGTAGTCATAGATAAGTAAAGAAAAATGAATTCGGAAGCAAGTGTAGTGCGTGTAGTTCACTTGGATGACCTTACTACCGAATATTCTTTGAAGGAGTTTCTGTTATCATCGTCATTAGTGTTGGGTGCCATTAATAATGTTTTTATCAATATAGACAATGAGCTACAAATAGTTTTTGCATATGTTATATTTGAAAATCACCATGATGCAAAAGCCGTTGTGAACAGACTAAATGGTTTTTGTTTTCAAAATAAAGTTTTGGAGATTGAATTAATAGGTCCGAATTTACCTTACAAAAGATATACAAAGCAGACTAGCAAATCAAATGCTATTTCCACCAAATCAAATGATGTTTCCACCAACAGCTTAGATATAAGACATAAAACCCTAAATATAACCTCTCCAACGAAAACTCTAAATAGTCAGTCTAATGATTTAGACATTGATTCACCCATCTATGTTTCTCCTATTAACACGTGGCACCCTGGAGATTATAGACATAGTTTTAAACCTGCAACTACAATAAAAACTACTACACAAACAGCAACGAATCCATTGAATTCTGCTAGATTTATCAATAAAAATAATAACGAAACATCTGCAGCCATAAGTAATCCTTTAAAAGCTAAGAATGATACGCGACAAGCTGGGACATACACATCAAGAGTATCTGGTTTAAGTTCATCTACTTCACACTTAAGATTCAATAGAGTATCTAGTAACGCAACAAATAATAAAATACAAGCATTTTTTTCTAATAGAGCAGCCGCAAAACCTAGAAATACTGTATTAACACAAGACAAGATGCCAAAGTCAGCTTCTTTATCATCTATATCATCAACAATGAGTCATCCAGATGCTTTTAATAGGACTCAAACAGAACCGACTTCATCATTATATTCAGCAGTGTATCAATCTAACTATTCTACACCAAGAACTTCCTACTCATCATTGTCTTCGGTAAGATATCAGTCAAATGTTTCTACTGAAATAAAAAGTTTAAGTTCATCTGCTTCACACTTAAGACTCAATAGAGTATCTAGTAATGCAACAAATAATAAAATACAAGCATTGTTTTTCTAAAAGAGCAACCGCAAAACCTATAAATATTGTATTCATAGATTAAATATATATAAGTAGAGATTGTATTAACACAAGACAAGATGTCAAAGGCAGCTACCGTCGGAAGGGGTAAAACCGACCAAAATTTTAGGTTTTTTTCATGTTTTATGATTATTTTTGAATTGAGAAAGCTGCAAATTATATATGTTAAAGTATCATATCTGAAGTGCCAATTAGTGGTTTTTCTTTTGAAATCATCCTATAGTTAGGTTAGGTTAGTTTTTCTCATTATATTTTCAAAAGTGATCGGTTTTATCCCATGGTTTAGGTAAAACCGATCGGGTGTTGAATTGCGTTTATGTTGCTTTTAAGCAAGCTTTGGGGTAAAACCGATCACACAAAAAAAATTTTAAACTATTTTTTATGCAATAAATTGTAAAATCACACAAGATTTGTTACTAAGAACTTTATTTCAAAAATAAATACAAATTTGGGTTTAAAACATTGAAAAAACTTAAAACATAAAAGAAAACACTTATTTCTAAAAAACAAAAGGAAGACGTTGGTTCTTTGGTGGTACATTGGTAATTTGGTACTTTCTAACTTATTCTAACGTAAGGTTGGAAATCCCCTGAAAGTAAATGTTCCTCTTCTGAGAGGAATTGCTTGTATTCTTTGTATAATCTGTTCTTTCTGAACTATGGCGATATCCTCGATTTCTGGATAAGCAAAGCAAATTTGTTTTTTTTTGACGACTTTTTCCTCAAGCATTGAAGTGTGACCTCCTCGTCAGAAATATCTGTAATTTTAGCAGCAAAAAATCGATCTCTTTTGTTCGTAACAAATTTAACGACAACAAATTCTCCAAGCTGAAAATATGTATCATCAGAAACCTGGGGTGTGTTCTCTGAAATTTCCTCGTCATTTTCCAACCCTGAAAAACTTAGATCGTGTACTTCTAACCCTTGCTCACTTTCAGAACCTTCACTTTCTTGTACAAGGTCTTTCTTAGAAATACTTTTTCCTACTGCCACCTTCATCCTTTTACCTCTCTTTGGATTTTCACTTGAACCTGTTCTTAGTTCTCTCAAATGATCGACAATGGTATTCGTCCATATTTGCTCGACTCTAGTCTCTTCCTGTTCGCTATTTTCGTTTTCTCCTTTTTTCAAATGTTGTATTTTTTTGAGCACTTGATCTGGATTTAAAGGCACTATGCCACAAGCTTTAAAGCCTGCTTGGGTGTTTGAGGTTGATTTCAGACCCACTTTTTCTATTGTTTCTTTTAACAGTCTTGGAAAAACAGTTTTGGGCAGGACACCCTGTTTTTGATTTTCCAAATTGTGAGCACTTTCCTCCAAGCATTCTTTAAAGGTCGAAAATAGGCAACGTCAAGTGGTTGTAATAAATCTGTGGAGTTTGAAGGTAAAAGTATAAACTTTATACCATTATTTTCACATTGCTCGATAACATTGACTGTAAGATGACTGAATAAATTATCCCCTATCATTACTTTAGGGCCTTCTAAGTTTCTGAAGTAGGGCAATGCTATCGATAGAAACCAGTCTTCAAAAGTTGTGCTGTCAAACCAACCATTGATCGTTCTATTATATCGTGCACCAGGAAAGCCTCCATCGGCCCATCCTTCATACATATGCTTTGCCTTGTACACTATATAAGGTGGCAACAGTGTTTCATCACCAGCAACTGAAAACATAACGCTAGTGCTCGTTTTTGACGTGTCCATCACTCGATGAGCGTGTTTTGATCCTTTTCTGACTACGACTTTTACAGCTCCTGGATCGTCCGTGAGTTGGTTTCGTCATAGTTTATCACATTTGACGGTGCGACCCCTTTCAAAAACTCTCCAAGATGACGAAAATACTCTTCAACTGTTTCATAAGTGACTGCAGCCCTTATCCTTTTTGTATTCTCTGCCAATTTTATGGTGAGAGCCTTATGTCGGTCCATAAATTTGAAGAACCAATCTGGTCCTGGTAAATTGTCTCTGAATCTTTTTCTCTTCTTCCTGCTCTGTTAAAACTGCTGAACCATATATCGAATGTCAATACTGTGTAGAGGATATCCCCAGTCCGCGCACACTAGTAGACAGCCAACCAGCTTTTTTTCTTCCAGTTCAGAAAGAACTGGTGGCGCTTCAATCTTGAGATGTTGCCTCTTTTTTCCAATTTTTTCTTGTATAAGGTACTCCATAATTCTCAGAGGCCTTTCTTATAGACATACTCCGACTAGCAACAGCTTTCAATGCTCGTTCCATATAAATTTCATTGTACTGTAATTTTCTTGTTGGCCCTAACTTCTTCTTATAGGTGCGAGGCATTGTGCGAGCACCAAACAACCGCCACACTATGTGCTGCCCATAACGTTCATATCCATAAGAATTAGGTAGGTACCATCTATAAAATAACTAGGGAATTGTTGGTCGGTTTTACCCCACAAATTTCAGATTTTACAGAAAAAAAAAATATATCAAAATTAACCCAAAAAGACATATCGCATAATTGGCCATGACTAATACTCTCTAAGAATTCCACAACAAAATAACACTTACCAGAAATGTTCTATAGTAATCACTTTTTCTGTAGACGGAAATCTTTCCAAGTTTTGTAAAAAACACCCGAATACGACGTTTTGTTTACTAGTCTACACTGCAGCCACGCGACACTTTCAACCTGTTAGTTTGAGCTCACTATGGCGACTGGCATATCCTCGGACAGGTACGAACGCTTGTTTGGCGGTAAATTCACATATACTATTAATCCTGAAAATATTAGGCAAAAAACCCTTAGCGATCGGTTTAACCTCATGTGATTGATTTTACCTCGTTCGACGGTACTTTATTATCTATATCATCAACAATGAGTCATCCAGATGCTTTTAATAGGACTCAAACAGAACCGACTTCTTCACCATTATCGTCAACAGTCCATCAGTCTGACTATTCTACACCAGGAACTTCCTACTCATCATTGTCTTCGGTAAGATATCAGTCAAATTTTTCTACTGAAATAAGAATACCAGAAACTTCATATCCAACAAAGTTTACGCTAATGAGTTCACCAAATGCTTCTACTAGGCCACTAGCACCTACAATTTATAATTCTTCAGTACACCATCAAAATACTGCTACTAGGACCCAAACAGCACCGACTTCTTCACCATTATCTTCAGCAGTGCATAAATTGAATCCTTTTGCACCACCAACTTCCTATTCATTATTGCCTTTGATAGTGCGTCGTCGGTTAAATACTTCTACTAAGGCACAAACATCAACAACTTCTTCACCATTACCTTTAACAGTGCATCAGTCAAATGATTCAGCTTTGTTTTGGCTCATGAGTACACCTAATGATTCTACTGCACCACTAACACCAACAACTTCTCATTCTTAATTGTCTTCAGCAGTGCCCCATCAAAATACTTCTACTAAGACACAAACAACAATAACTTCTTTATCATTATCTTCAACAGTGCATATACATATAACTTTTATCTTATTTATCAAAAAACTTTTACTTTTTAGTTTAATATCTCGTTTATTAAATATTACTTAAAATGGTTACAAATTAGTTGTTTCTAAAAAAAAAAATAGAAGTGAGCGATCCCAATTTTTGCGCCTTTGGGTTCCATATAGCACCCGCTGTGGTCACGATTGTGACTATAAGACTTTAAAAGTGAATATTTTTTTAGGTCAAAAACGAAATATTTGATAACATTTGCATTGGCCATGGCATATTTGATTGTATTAAAAATTGGTACTTCGTTTTTGTTTACTATTAGATGTTATATGCATATTATGTAAAATGTATTTTAATAAATTGTATTTTGCCAAATGTGTTTATTACTATTATAACCTGAGTTAGTTACATATCTTTGAGATAAATATGATGATGCTATTCTGTACATACACGAGTAATAGCAGCTTCTTAGTGGGACCCATCTTTGTTCCCCTTTAACCTTATGCCAGGACAACTGTTCTAGTGTCGATTGTTGTCATTTATTAGGCTCTTCTAATCGACGGATTTTAATGTTTCAAAATGGGTTTGAATCGTCTATCTAGAAGTTTTAGTTTTTTCCTCCATAATTTTTAAAATTATGTAAACTATTGTATTAAAATTTTGTGTGATGATTTAAAAGTTTTCTTTCTCAGAATATCAAGTTCTTAAGTTTGATTTTAGTATGGGAAATAAACTTGCAAAAAACCTTTTTTCTGCAATTGTTTTTTAGTATTTTTTAAATAATAATAATTTTTAAAGTTCGAAACTAGCATTACTTATCTTATGTAAAGTTCAATTACAAAACTTGCATGTTGTAGTATCTTAAGAAATACTTCGCGTAAACTTAGTTTTAAGAAATATGCTAATATTCTATGCTAAATATGCTAAAGTTTGAAGGATCTGATCCTATGACGCCTCTTTATAATAATAAGACACTTAAATTAATCGTATCTGATTGTATTGGCGATATTAGATCATGAATGATTAATGTAGGAGATAACAGTGTGAGTAAACTGTTGTTTTAAAGGCAACATAATTGCGAATACGGTTTCCAAATTTCGAGACATTTTGTCGGTAAATAACAGAAATCACTCTCCCTAGGTTTTGGTGCACCGATAAAACAGCCTTAAATGTATGTAAAAATGTGAATTTGATGAACTACGTTATGAACGTAGTAATCCTGCAGTGGAATCTTAGGCTATATAAACTAACTTAAATAAAATAAATGTTTTTAACTTACGTTCTTAAATTGAAAGGCAGTCTAACGTGATCCAAAAGGTCTTGTCGTATTTATATTATATAAAAACACATTATTTTCCATAAATATTTTATTTACATAGTCAAAAAATTATATATAACATAGTAATATACAAAATTAAATCTTTTACACAAAACATCGATAAGAATCCAGTCTATTTTCACAAAATAAGCATTCTGTAACTATGACAATCGATTGTGAAGTTAATGCGCCACGCCAGCGAATAATGGAAGGTTTCAGTAGAATACCAACTGAATGGTTTTAAAAATAACGGTAAAAACTTATCTATTTGCTGTCTGAAGTCTTACAATTTATTTAGGGGTAGAAAATGTTCACCTGGAAATAGTATATTTTCATACCTACATACAAAATTTACGCGCCACAGCGTTGCCGCACTGTGTTATGTATTAGTTCTTGGTATATTCACACATCTGTCAGACAGACAAATTTTAGCCACAGAATAATAAATAATCAAAATGCCCACTCTGCTTGAAAACATAACTACGCGCGTCTCGTTCGCGCAGATGGAATCAGCCATGTTTTAAACGGAACCAGTGCTGTTCAGTGACATTTTATCTGGTGTGCATAGACAAATTAACCCGGTTTAATTTATTTACGGCAACTATAGACATAATATGCACTATAGTCAGAATCCAGAAATCT